TTTCAGTTTCTTTTATTAACTCAATCAAATTACATAATTAGTACTTAAGTATTGCTTCTATTTTCCCCTGGTCTTTTTGAGTGTCATTAGTTTTGCTTCATTTAAAAAAATGCTTGTTTTGGTTAATGTGAAGTGGTTTTACAGAAACCAAACACTGTCTCACAGTTGGAAAAGTAAAAGAACAACAAAGAAATCTTAAAACCCACAATATTACAGTTGTGTTTCTAGATCCCTTCAAGTGTTTTTAGTCATTATAGCAGAACTTGCATAGGCACAGCAAAGAGCAAAGCAGCTTCTGAACAAATTCATGACTTTACAGATCATCAGTAAACTAGCTGATATTCTGCTGCTTGTTGCTCAGATGACTGACGTCGGCTGCATGTTTATGTCCACACACATTGCTGTCATCAGATTATGATTGGACCTTTGACACGTTTGATGTCTTTTTAAACCAGACCAAACCAGACCAAACCTTCAAACCAGTGTAGTTGTCCACCTGTGATTGAATCAGCTGTGAAACTTGTTTAAACCAAACATTAACAGGGCCTCAGGGTTCAAAATGACATCTTTCTAGATGTTTGTTTTGCATTAGCAGTGAAGTAAAACCTTTACATGTGTTAGTTAAATCCTCTCTGTAAAGGAGTGGGAACAAAGGGATTGCATTTCAGCTGAAAGATGATTTCACTTATTTGTTAAATGTAGCAGGTTTTATTGTCATAACTTAGGTAGTTGTTAGATATAGGCCATGTTCACAGTGCAGGCAAAAGTGGCCCAAACCCAAAACTTTTTATTATTATTTTTCCCCAAAATTAGACCCGTATCTTTTTCATTCCGTATCTAATTTAAATATGATGTTTTTCAAAGCGGCTGCAGTTTTAATAGTCATGCTGCATTTTATGTGACTTTTACATTAGAGAGGTATACATATCAGTCCAGATTAGGCCTGGCACAAGAAGCAATAAATGAATTGATCACATAAGTTAAAATGAAGTTGATAATTTTCATTTGCCTGCTTGTAGGGCTGGGCGATACGGCCTAAAAAAATCTTGGCTTTTTTTTCATCCCAAATTCGATTTTCGATTTTCATCAATCCTTTGCTTTCTTAAACACAAGTTGCAGAAAAATATTTTTAAAAACTCTCTTTTATTTGAACCATCCCTTCTGGAAGTTGACCTTAATTCAAAGTGCAACTAAATACAAGCTATAAATCATGCTTGTAAAACAAGCTGGCAGGTCCTGCCATTGTAAACAATGAAAATATAAATAAAATATTTGCAGCTTCAAGTAAACACAATAAGCTAGTTTGAAAATTAGTGTAAACAAAATTAACAGTCTTGTTTAAAACATATATTCAAGCAAAGTCAGTAAGTACATTCTTGATGTCTTTTTTTTTTGTTCCCCCACACATTTTTGCCAAGGAAGATAAGCCTGTCTACTGCATCTTCATGCATGCCCTGTGGCTTAAAC